CATCATGATCTTCTTTTCTATTGACTTTAGAGGCAAAGGAAACAATAAATTCATTAAAGAAATTCAATGCTATAATTATTCTTTTTTTTTTCTAATAACATTTTCAGATTTGGAGTTTTTTATAACTTTGTTGCAATATTTCTTAATTGGATGCGTAGAATTAAATAAACAAATGGTTTTTTTTTTGTCTTTTCAATAAATAAATAAAAAATGTTCCAACGAAGAAGCTTCAGAAAATATAATGCTTAAGTTAGAGTATTTTATGTGTGTATAAATGGAGATCCTAATATTCTAGCACTTCAACTTTTTTTGGAATGTCTTTTGTTTTGTTGGAATACTTTGATAATAACAATGAACGCATTTAATGCATTCTATTTAATAATAAATATTTTTCTTTATCAATCTCTTAATAGTTAGATGTATTAATTATTTATTTTTTGAGTAATATATATTTTCTTTATTTATCTTAAATTCTAGTGTCTTACAACGTAGAGAGTTCTTCTAACAATGGAAGAAAAATACCTTTAACTATTTGTCCAAGAAGTTATATTTATGAAACTTGTCATTTATTTAATGAATCTCTTATGTTAAACCAGAAAAAAAGAAAACATTCCCTAAAATATAAACTAACCTTTTTTCATTTTCTATTTGAATAAGTGTTTCATTATTTAAAAGCATTTATCAAATGAATACTAGACTAAGTAATATTATATATATTTAAAAGCTTATTCTACTTTTCTATGCGGTTAATGATTTAGATGTACTAAAAAAAATCAAATTAAACATAAATTACGATATTAGAGATTACATTGAACATTCTTCCCACGTCTACGCCGTTAATGATTTAGATGTCGTCAGAAAAAAGAACCAAATTAAACATAAATTACAAAATCAAATACATTTGAAAAATATAAGTTATACATTAAACAAAATTAACAAATATAGAAAAAAAATGATATTAAGCAAAAAAGAATTTATATTATATTACTTTTGTAACGTACATAAATTTACATATTTTATAAATATAACAAAAATAGATTTACGTCTTTTACATTGCAAGTGACTAAAAAACCTAAAATAATATATATATATATATATATATATATATATATATATATATATATATATAATATTTTTT